GAGGCTTGGGGACCACTTTGCAGAACACCTACGCTCGGTTCGCACTACACAACTGCACCTCCCAGTCGTGAACCATTTCAACTCTCCCTCCCATTCCTCAGACGACATGTCCATCCTGGCCTCCTGCAGTGCCACAACGATGCCACCTGAAGGTTGCAGGAACAGCAACTCATATTCCGCTTGGGAACCCTGCAGCCCAATGGTATCAATGTGGACTTCACAAGCTTCAAAATCTCCCCTCCCCCTACCGCATCCCAAAACCAGCCCAGCTCGCCCCCGCCTCCCTAACCTGTCCTTCCTCTCACCTATCCCCTCCTCCCACCTCAAGCCCTACCCCCATCTCCTACCTACTAACCTCATCCCGCTCCCTTGACATGTCCGTCCTCCCTGGGCTGACCTATCCCCTCCCTAACTCCCCACCTACACTCACCTTTACTGGCTCCATCCCCACCTCTTTGACCTGTCCGTCTCCTCTCCACCTATCTTCTCCTCTATCCATCTTCTATCCGCCTCCCCCTCTCTCCCTTTTTATTTCAGAACCCCCTTCCCCTCCCCCATTTCTGATGAAGGGTCTCGGCCCGAAATGTGAGCCTTCCTGCTGGATCTTGTCTGCAATTCAGTTTGAATAAATTTGGAATGAGAAAGCTTTAAAAGGTACGTTGTGTGCCAGAGGTTGATGTGCTGTTATTTAGAAATCTTAAAAATCACACTGTATATATCTGAACAGCCAGAAGCATCTTTTCAAAAATGACCATCAGGACAAAATGAAAGGGAATGTTTTAGGATCATTCCAAGGAAAGTTCAATATTTTGGTCTGACAATATTCAAGTATATAACAGTAAAGTGAGCTGGCAAATGCTTATGACAAAATACTCAACATCTCTACTAGCTTTTAAACAAACCTCAAGAATTGCTTCCCACCTTTAGAAATTGGCATTAAACCCTTCTCTGTGGCCCAGCCAAAATTCAGAGTGGTGCTGGTCTGACCTTACTTTTAAGGTATGTAGGAATACTCTCTTGATCCAGCTTACTAAATTGGTATCCATTAAAATCCAAATATCTAAGCTGTTCCTTTAAAAGACATTTCCTCAAGGGCACTTCGGATGCAATGGCCCAAACTGTTCCTTGGAACAGGCAAACCAAATTCTAATGCTAAAAGTGGAAGTGAAGTCTGTCTGCTCCACATATTCAGAAGCTTAGATACGGGGAAAATACCAGAAGGTTGAAAAACTGCCAATGTAATATCTTTATTTGAAAAGGGAAGGAGACAAAGGGTAACTATAGGCCTCTTAGCCTAATATTTACTGGGAAGATGTTAAGAGTCTATAATAAAGCATGTAACAGTGGAGCATTTAGACATGCCCCTTATATGATTAAGCAGAGTCAGGATGGCTTCATGACATGCCAACAAATTTACCAGAGGTCTTGAGGAGCTAACAGCAGGATAGATAAAGGGGAAGAAGCAGATGCAATATATTTGGATTTTTAGAAGGAGTTTGATAAAACGTTAGACTACTACTATAGGAGCCCAGGGTGTTTGGAAGTAGTACGTTAGTTAGCCAATCTTCTATACATGTTAAGACAGAGTTGTATTAAGGGGAGCATTTTCAGGATGGCAATCTGTAACTTGTGATGTGCCACAGGGAACAGTGCTGGGTCAAGAAGTATTTACGAGACATATTAATGGCTTGGATGAGGTAAGTGAATGCACTATTGCCAAGTTTGAGGATTACAAAAATGGGTGGGATGGCAAGTAGAGAGGATAACACAAAGAGTTTGCAGAGGGATATTGACATGTTAAGTGAGTGGCCAAAAAAGTAGCAGATGGAATAGAATGTGGGTAAATGCAAGGTACGCACTTTGCCAGGAACAGACAAGCTATTTACATTGAGAAATATTACAGAAAGCTAATGGAGCAGTGATTTGGGAGTCCTCATCAATAAATCAAAAAAAAGCTAGCATTTAAGTTCAGTGGGTAAGAGGGAAAGCAAATGGTGCATAATTCCAAGGAGGTTTTGATAAAACTATAGAGCTACAGCTGGAATACTGGGTCTTAGAACAAGGCATTGACATAAGAGGCAGTTCAGAAGATTCACCAGGCTGAAACCACGTATGGAGATACTGTCTTATGAGGAGAAATGGAGTTGGTTACTGACACTAACATACTCAGGCTGAGAATTGGAATTCTTTCATCCCATGCAGGATATGGCCAGTGCCAGCTGCTGTAAGTGGTGCCTGTTACTAGTTCAAGCACTGGAGGGGGAAGAAGGAAGTAAAGAACATAATGTTAGAACACTTAGAACATGGATATTGAAGGCAAAATGATGTCAATGTACTTGAAATAGGTCACCTGTCACTAAATTTAGACTGCCACACTAGCTTGTGATCACTGCAATACTTAACTATTTCAAAAAAAGCTATAGTACTCAGAAAGAAAGCAAGGAAAAAGCGAAGGACAGAGCAAATGATTTAAGAAATGACACAAGCAAGAACAACTAAAAACGAGAGCATAATTGGACCTTGGCCCTCATGCTGAAAATGAAGGGAAACACCGGCACAGTTCATAGGTGTTGAAGTGAATTTGTCCTGGGGCAACAACGCTTTATTCATATAAAACAGATTCACCTGCTCAAACACTCAAATGTTTTTGTCATTGACCGATGCAACAGTTGAAGTTTTCTTGACTGCCCTCCCATCCTCTCTCCTTAAAGGTGAGCTCAAGCAAAAATCTAGTACCCATATCTTAGCTTGCGATAAGCTCTGTTCATCTGCATTTCAAGCTCATTGGCATATACTGACCCCGATCCAGCTGCTTCAATTTAAAAATTCTCATCTCAGAAATTACTTCTGCGATTCTATCTACCGTGATCTCTGCCAGCCTTATGGTTGAGCCCCACCCACTTCACATTTTGATTTCTTGCGTATCTCCAATTTGCTCCACCACAGATAGCTTGGCATTTAATTGTTTGCACCTTAAAATCTTGAATTTCCTGGTCAAACATCTCCTCCTATAACAGTTTCCTTAAAGCCTACCTGTAAAATAACCTTCTGTCATCATACAACTCTGTTGCTTTGTGTTACAACCAAATCAGCAGTGAACTAATTGTTGTTTATTCTGCTCATTAATTGATCATTAAGTCTGAATTCAAAAAGGGAAGTGACATTGTATAATCTTTTTCTTTTAATTTCATTGGCTATCAGAAACAAGTCAGCCAGGTTTCTTGAGTAATAAATAACAAATCAGTTATTGCAAACAAGACTTAATTTTCTGAAGGGTCCAGAACCAAAACGTCAGCTTTCCTGCTCCTCTGATGCTGCTTGGCCTACTGTTCATCCAGCTCTACACCTTGTTATCTCTTATTCAAACAAATATGCAGTAGAGTCAGAATTAAGTGCAGTAAAACAAACCACTGCCTGTGAACACAAGTAGTCTTCTCCACAATTCCTTCATCTGCCCCCATACTAAATCCACTTAAGACCGACAGACTGATTTAAAAAAGTCTAGCTTGGAGAATTCATGAAATGACAAATCTGCCTTCGACATCTGAAAACATTAAACATGGAGAATGTAAAGAGAACATAAGAAGTCAGTTCAAGTTCTCTACACAAGATAATGGAGCATCCATATGCTGAGGATTTTAAGATGTAAGCACACACAGCTTTCTCTTAACAATTTTTACATTAGATTAAGTAGACAAAAGAGACTCTAAGTCACAAAATGACACCAAAAAGCTAAACTATTCTTAAAACTGTAGGTTATATCCATAAGCATGCAGTTTTACAATCATTGCAGTGTCACGGTTTTCCAAAAGCTCAGCAGGTCAGCTACCTTACAGTTCAAACAAGGGATTCAAATAAGAATACATCTAAAATGTATAAAATGACAAAATTATCAGAGATCACCAAAAAAAACGACAAAATTGCACACAGGATGGCCACTTCTCCAAAACTAACCGCAAACCATGCAGTGCAAATGTGCTCACTCACACTAAGGAGGTCTGGGGCAGAAATATCATCCAAGTCCGAGACCACACTTCCCCTGCGGTTTGAGCGGCTAAAATAGTCAGCTATCGATCCACTGTGATCAGAAAAATCAGAGGACTGCAGAGAAATATCAAAATAACAAGAAGTGATGAAACAAACAAACAAACATGGGATATACAGCATTCTCAAAGGAAATGAGCATATTTTAAATTCACGGTAATTCAAGATTTTTGTACAGAATGTTTGGTGGTACAACAGTAACAAAGTATACTCACTCTAAAAGACTGCAACTCAAGATAAAGTTTCAAGCCAGAAGGAGCATTTCTGGTAATTTCTGATCAAAAGTTGTTAACTTGAAATGTTAACTTTGTTACTCTCCAAAGGTGCTGCTTGACCTGTGTATTTCCAGTATTTTCTGTGAAGAGGCCTAAAGCCAATTTCAGGTAGGCATCTTGGACAATTTCAGGGTGCTGTCACCGATACAGCATATAACATACGCTTGTGCCTGCCACATTGATTCTTCAACAATAAATAACAACAAATCCAATTTTTGGGCTGCTGGATTTGAATAAGATGTTAAATTAGAAGTTCCACCTGATGGATGTACAAGGAGCCATTGCACCAAATGGATAACAGCAACCTAGCTCTCCTGAAATCTGGCCAATAATTAGCCCTCACCCAAGACCATGACAGTGGGTTACCTGATCACCCACCTCAGTTCTTGGTGGGACCTTGCTGCATAAATATTAGCTCATTTTCCACATGACAATTGTGGCTACATTTCAAAATACTTCATTAGCTGTCTAGCACCTTAAGATCATGCAAGGCACTATATAAATATAATTTCTGAAGTGAAGAGTTCAAGCTGCCTATGTGTACATAAGCCAAGGGGACATTGATAGTTGCTTGATTAGGCACTTACAGTTTTAGTGATTATTTTTTGCACTGTCACCATTATGTTGGACACAAAACAGCAACTTCCTTCCAGGAATGCTGCACTGTATGAGATAGTCTTGATCTCTTGCTGCTAGCTACTGTACCTCTTCCCTTAGCCTAGGTGGTTGAAAATGACAACCACTTAGATTATTACGTGGCCTATCCAACCTGTTTCTGTGCATTTAAGACAGCTATGATCTCCCAAGTGATCCTTGACCCACATCTTGTCAGTTACATGTGCAACTAATTAGAATAGGGATATGACCAAGAAACATCCAATTAGCATGTTAAACGAGTGAGCTAATCCAACTACAGAGCTTTATATTGAATTAGAAAGCACAGCTAAAGTTGCAAAGCAGATTTGAAGCAAATTTGCAGGGACTAATAACGAATTGGAAGAACAAATTTGTTTTTGATATCCTTTGGTCACAATCCAGACATGTACACTGTGAAGGACACAACTGTCATGAAAACTGATGTAAGCTGTCAAGAAACAAAATGTTCATCTTGAAGAAACATGCACCTTTTAAACCAGTCATGAACAAAATAGATGAGCCCAGTGACATAAGCATACAAGCAGCAGGTACATTTATAGTCTTTATAATCACATTTTTATAGTTTTTTCTTCAAGATTAGATCAGTCATTAGCAACAGCAGAAATAAATTAAGGCTCGCAAATGTGGGCCTTCATTCAAACGGCTAGTTGCATGTTCTTTTAATGTATTTCTATGGCTTCAGTTTAGACAATCTTGTCAACGAGAAATGTTTTCCTCTTCTGTTAAACAAGTGACAAGTCATTCAATCCATTAACTTGTCGTCTGCAATTGATAAACTTTTATTTATTTCATATACTCCAATATCCTAACCATACTAAAGACATAACAAAGTGAGGAGCTGGAGGAACACAGCAGGCCAGGCAACAGGAAAGTTGACGCTTTGGGTCGAGACCCTTCAGAAACAGGGAGGGGGAAGGGAGCTCAGAAATAAATAGAGAGAGGAGGGGTGGGGCTGGGGAAAGTAGATGGGATGGTGATAGGTGAGTGCAGGTAGGCAGTGGTGAGGATTGGTTAGTGAGGTGGGAGGGGCAGATAGACGGGAGTGAAGGAGAACAGGTTGTGTCAGGTCAAGGAGGCGGGGAGATTTTGAAACTGGTAAAATCCACATTTAGGCCATTGGGCTGTAGGCTCCTGAGGCGGAATATGAGGTGCGGTTCCTCCAGATTCTGGATGGCGTCATTGTGATACTGGAGGAGGCCCAGGATGGGGCAGTATGGTGGCTCAGTGGTTAGCACTGCTGCCTCACAGCACCAGGGAGCTGGGTTCGATTCCAGTCTCAGGCGACTGTCTGTGCAAACTTCGCACATTCTCCCAGTGTCTGCATGGGTTTCCTCCGGGTGCTCCGGTTTCCTCCCACAGTCCAAAGATGTGCAGGTTAGGTGGACTGGCCATGCTAAATTGTCCGTAGCGTTCAGGGATGTGTAGATTAGGTGGGTTGCAAGGGGACGGGTCTGGGTGGGATGCTCTGAGGTTTGGTGTGGACTTGTTGGGCTGAAGGGGCTGTTTCCACACTGTAGGGATTCTATGATCTATGACTTCTATGACTTCTATGACATCACCCAGGGAATGGGAGGGGGAGTTAAAATGGTTCGCAACCAGAAGTTGTTGTCGTTTGTCGTATACAGAGCACAGATGCTCCGCAAAACAGTCTCAGAGTCTCCACTTAGTTTCACCAGTGTACAGGAGGCCACATTGGATGCAGTAGACCAAGTTGACGGATGTGCAGGTGAACCCCTGTCTGATGTACTAAAGACATGCTATGTTTACAGCTCTACAGCTGTCCATTATCTTGTCTTTCACAGTGTCTTATTCTTGTAGATGAGAAGAGAAAAATAATCTTTTAAAACAGAAATGGTTTCATCCATGGCAATAATCTTTACCATCCCTGTTATTTCAAACCTGATCATTAGTAAAGGCTGCTATCAGAGAATACACTCTCACATGCATAAAGAGCTCACCACACTGTCACGACGTCCCTGGCTGATATTGTCTTGGGACATGGTGCTCATTTTTTCATCATCTGAATTCTATCAAAGTTAAAGTGAATAAACAAGTCTTGATGACATAAATCTTGATGACATAAATAGCGTCAAAACTTGTTCACGTGTCACAATGACTGCAGTTCTTTAACTCAGACACAAACTGCACAAAGTTGCAAATAAGATGCATGTTATTTATTAGAAGTCCAACCTTGTTAATGTCATGCAAAAGTTTTAGTGAAGAGGTAATAATTATACCCGTCATGCAATTCCATGAAGAAATGGTTCCATATCGAGCAGAGTTCCCGATCTTCAACAACTCTAACAGAGGGTAGGTTCATTACTGGTGGACTAAACTATTAGACCAGCCATAATACAAAGAAAGCAGGCCAAAATTTCTCCTCTATTACAGATTTTACCCAAAGCCTAAGATGAGTCAGTCTGCAGAGCATCAAATGTAGATAAGCCTTCCAACCATAGAGGTGAAAAAGGCAAGATCAGAATGCCTGCTTTGGAGTTAAAATGCAAGGAGGAATTGTATTTTTAAAATTTGATTTCAGAAAGAGTACATTCTTGCAGTTAATATTACAATTGGAAAAGGCCAGGGATAGAAGGTGCAATCTGCAAAATTAAGAAAGTTATGGGAAATCAATTAATTTTTCAACAGTAAAAGACTTTAGCCAATCTAAATGATGGTTCCAGATATTAAAAGTCTGATTTTGTGGGTTCTTGGTAGATCAGCTATCACAAAGACCAATATAGTCCTCCTTACCAAATGACACCACACCTCCAACAGCATATTTTACCTCTATTGAGTATCACCCAGATTGCATCTCCTAAAACATCCCTTTTGGTTTATTGTTCAAACCAAAAATATCAAGTATCTCACCATTATACTGTCACCATGTTCTTTTCTCATCCTAAGCATCAAAGAACCTCTTATCCTCATTCAATCTCCATCTCATTTTCTTTGCTCTGAATATACCTAAACTGCCTTAATCTCACCCTTTGTATCAAGTCCCTACCTATGCATGGTTAGCCATGCTATCTTGTGTGGCCTGCTTACACCCATGATATATCACCTTTCTCCTCCTCACTCTACTTTCTTATTTAATCTGCTCCTGAAAGGAACGGTTGCAAATTAGTCACTACTGCACACCCATATGTCCAACTTGAATTCTCCACAATAATTTATCACAATCATACTGCTTATTTGTATACTCTCCTCTACCTTTAATGCTGTTATTCGTAATAAAACCATAACTCTCGTTGCCTCTAGTTATAGCCATCACCTCCACTTGTTTGGATGAAAGGAGGCAGACTTGAACATTTTGGTCAGAAAACTGGTTTAGCCATTTGTTGTCAAACCTGGCTGGATCAGAAAGCATTACTGGGTGCTCCACTGTCAAAGCTGATAGCTATTCCATAAAAATAGCTCTGGACTGCTCCACAACAAGAACTTAGAAACAGGGTAGGCCATTCAGCAAATTGAGCTGCTGCATTCTAGATCATGGCTGGTCGTTTTCTCAATGCCACTTTTCACATCTCCATATCAAAGTTGTGCATCTCCAGAAACTATCAATTCTTGTGCTCAATTTGCTCAATGATGAAGCTGCCAAAGTCCTCTAAGAGCAGAGAATTCCAAAGATTCACAACCCTCTGAGTGAAGTAGTTTCTCATCAACGAAGTGTTAAATTACTTGCTCCTTATCCTGAGATAATATGTCCTGGTTCCAGAGTCATGAGCCAGGGCTAACATCCCATCTATATCCATTTTGTAAGAATTCTCTAAGTTTCAATGAAATCACCTCTTATTTTGCAGTTTGTCTCTTCAGACAATCCTGCCATGCTAGCAATTAATTTGGTGAACCTCTGTTGCACTCCTATGGCAATTATATCCTTCCTGAGGCAAAGGGTCCAAAACTGCACATAATGTATATGAACTGTACATAAAGTCCCAGCAAGGCTCTTTTTAACTGCAACAAGACATATTTACATCTGTACTCAATTCCTGTTAAAATTAGTTGAATACACTGTTTGTCCTTCTAATTGCTGTTGCACCTGCTGCGTCTCCACCCTCAAATCCAACAAGTGTGAGAAATCCGATTTCCTTGGCATTAAAGACAGACATTTATTTTGATGCCTCTCTGCTGCTTCTCTTCCCTTCATCCACCAAGGTTATAGCCTCAAAGTACATCTCTCCACATTCCCAATCTAAGCTCATATTTACCCTTAACCCCATAACCACTGAATGGTTTAGCATTCAATTTCTCTTTACAACCCCCAAATTGGCCAACATCGTTGACACTCTTCAGATACAGTATCCTTCCTCTTCAATCTGCCATAATCACCCCACCAGGGGTGGTGTGTGCACATGCACATGGAGGAGAAAGAGTGAGAGCCAGGAAGGAAGAGCAGAAGCCAAAAGGAGTGTGGATACTGCGCAGGTTGACAGGAAAAGACACTGCTTCAAATTTTAGCTATTCATCAGTTAGTTTGCAGATCAGCGTTTCTGCTGGAACTTCTACTGGGAGCAGCTCCATTTCTTCTCATTCATTCAACTCTTTGGTACACCAGGATGTTGAGTGACTCAGCAAAACTTCCAAATTTAAGATTTAACTGTCCATAAGTTTCACTATAATAGCATTCATGCAAAGCAATGTAAACAGAAAACAGATGTTTTGCTATAGATGCGCACCTAAGGCAGCGTGCTTTACAATCCACGGTGATAAGTAATTTTCTTGTACTATTATGCACTCAGCATACCTTTAGTATTTAGGTTTGTAGCATTCTGTGGTATGTAAAATATTACATTAGAGTGGTTCACATCAAAACGTTTGATGTGTAGTTATTAGATTGTTATTCATTATTAGATAACTAAACATATATTGGTTTTCATCTAAAAATCAATGCTAGTCAGTAGGTCAACTTAGCAAACTAAATTTTTTTTTAGCAGAGATAAGAAATTTTCATTTTAGTGTTTTTCTTAAAAACATATCTACATATCCTCAGTGCACATGCTGTAAAAATTCCTGTGGCAGCAACTTGCATAAGTAGTTTCGTCACCAATACTACAATGCACGAATTCAAAACTTTTTCAAAATGCCTGATGCTATTCTTACCATCGGGCTATTGTGCCCTGAACTTGCTCGAGAAGAATAACTGTATTCAGATGGCTGAGGGGGAAGACCAAGGATGTTATAAAAATATAGCAATGCTGTTTAGTAACCCAAAACCTTTTTCTTGGAGTCATTGTTACACATTGCAATAAACTTACAGTTCTTGAACTATATCTCCGACTGTAACTGTAAAGTCTCTCATCGTTCAATGACACCTATAAATATAAAGTATGTGTTAAATGCTTACTTTTTGGAAAAACTAGCTTAACTCAGCTCTTAAATGGTCAAACAGGTCAGCACATTGAAGTTGATTGTGATCAATCTGCATGAAAAAGCATCGATAACATACAAGCTTTTCATGGTCTATGACTGAACATACGTGTATGTCAAATATCTGAAACACTGCAGAATATCCGACTTCGAACCTGTACACATACAGGTAAAGTCATGTCTACAATCAGAGCTTCATCAAAATCTAAACGGTCTCAGAAAATATATCAATGTATCAATATTTTGGTGGGCGAAGAAATAAACAAGCACTGCAAATGTAACTGCACTATTAAAAGTTAGTTTTTTAATCCTTTTAATTTTTCCCTCTGAAATAAATGCAGGATGAAGGCATTTCCCACAGTCAAAGACAAACTGTTTAATTTTCAACTACAATTAATCCATCCGGCATCAGCCATGATTTTGTGGTAGCACACTTCCATTGGAGTCATAATATTGTGTTTACATACTACTTCAGGCAAATGTGCAGCTGATTCAGGCGAATATTACAGCTTTTTACCATCACAGCATCATTCGGTTGACACATAAAAAAGGTGAGGCTCAACTGTTCTGAGGTGGAAGCAATACCTACGGTGTGCAGACTTGTCTTATGAGGGAAGGCTAGACAGGCTAAGCCTGTATTCTCTGCAGTTTGGAAGAGTCAGAGGTGACTTAATTGAAACATAAAAGATCCGGAGGGGTTTTGTATGGGTGAATGTTGCAAGTATGTTTCCTCTTCTGGGAGAATCCAGAACTAAGGGTCAATGTTGAAAACTAAGTGTGCACTCATTTAAAATGGAAATGAGGAAACATTTTTTTGAGGATTGGGTGTCTTTGGAATTCCCTGCCTCAAAAGGCAGTGGGTGCAGAGTTTTTGTTTTTTTTAAAAACAGCAGAGGTACATAGATTCTTGATTATCAAGAGCAATAAAAGTTTAACAGGCAAATGCAGGAATGTACAGTTGAGGTTAAAATCAGATCAGCCATTATCTAATTGAATGGCGGAGCAGGCTCAAAGAGCCTACTCTTGTCCTTGTTCGTATGACACTAATTTGCTAAGTAGAGAGTCATCTCCTGGTCAATATTCATCTTAAACATTTAAACAGATGATCTGATTATTACTAATTACTCATGCAAACTCATCATTCAGGCTTCAACATCATCTTGTCTTATAAGCAAAGTTTAGACAAGTTGGGCCAATACTCATTGGAGCTTAGAAGAAGGAGGAGTGATGTTCTTGAAACTCAAAGATCCTGACGGGGAATTTATAGAGGGGATTTGGTGAGGATGTTTTGTTTTCCTGGGGAGTTAACTAGTGGTCACAGTTTACAGACAGAGGTTTCACTTTTATGATGGAGACAAGGAGAAAATCTCTCACTTTTGTTAATATGAGGAATTCACTTCCTTAGCAATCAGCAGACACTGGGTCTCTAAATTTATTCATGGGAGAATTAGATATAGATTTGCTGGAAAAAGATGACAAGACTTAAGGGCAGAAAGCAAAAATGGAGTCAAGGCCATAACCTGATCAGCTATGATTTAACTGAATGGTAGAACAACCAAATGGTCTGCCCTGCTCTTAAAGCCTGTATTCCTATTACGAGAATGTAAGTGCATAAGAAATAGGCACAGGAGTAGGCCATCTGTGGAATTCCCTGCCCAGCAAAGCAGTTGAGGCAAGTTGGTTGAATATTTTTTAAGGCAAAGATAGATAGATTTTTGAACAGTAAAAGTTTTAAGGGTTATGGTGAGTGGGCAGGTAAGTGGAGCTCAGTCCATGAAAAGATCAGCCATGATCTTATTGAATGGCAGAGCAGATTAAAGGAGCCAGATGGCCTACTCCTTGGACCTGCCTTTTTATAACACTTAACAACCAACAAATGTCTCAAAGCAGTTACAGCAAATGAAGTACATTATTTTTATTCACTCAAGGGATATGGCCGCCACTGGCTAGGCCAGCATTTATTGCCCATCTTGCCTAGTTAAAAGTCGACCACATTGGCTGTGGGTCTGGAGTCACATGTAGGCCAGACCAGGAAAGGATGGCAGTTTTCTTCCCTAAAAGGACATTAGTGAACCAGATGGATTTTTCTGACAAGTGATAAAGGATTCATGGTCATCATGACACTCTTAATTTCAGATTTTTTTAAAAAATTGAACTCAAATTCCACCATCTACCATGGCAGGGTTCAAACCCAGGTCCCCAGAACATTATCTGGGTCTCTGGATTAAGAGTCCAGTGATAATACTACTAGACCATCATCTCCCCATGAGAAGTGTTCTTACTGTCATCGTTGGCAAACAGGACTGCTAATATCCACATGGCAGCAATGGGATATTAATTTTCAGGATAACTCCCGTACTCTTTTTTGAAATGGTGTTATAGGATCTCACCCAATTAGAAAGATGGGGTCTTGTTTAAAAGTCTATTCCAAAAAGCATGTACTTTCAACAGTTGGGCAGATTCAATGGACTGAATATGTAGGTAGATTATGGAAAGGAGCAACAAAACAGTTGTCATAGTGGGCGACTTTAGCTTCTGCAATATTGACTGGTACTCCCTTAGAGCAAGAAGCTTAGATGAGGCGGAATTTGTTAAGTGCATCCAAGTGAGTTTCTTGAGAGTATGTGGATAGTCCAACTAGAGGAGGCCATGTATTGGACTGACCTTTCAGTGGGAGAGCGTTTTGGAAACATTAAACACAACTCCTGCCTAGGGCACTTTGAGATCAAAAAAGAATTGGTTTGGATCTCTTGAAGAGCATTAAGGTGGGCAAGTCCCCAGGGCCTGATGGCATCTACCCCAGGTTATTGAGGGAGGCAACAGAGGAAATTGCTGGGGCCTTGACCAAGATCTTTGTATCCTTGCTAGCCACAGCAGAGGTCCTGGAGGACTGGTGAGTAGCTAACGTTGTTCCTCTGTTCAAGAAGGGAAATACGGATAATCCAGGAAACTACAGACTGGTGAACCTCACATTGGTGGTTGGGAAGCTATTGGAGAGAATTCTTAGGGATAGGATTTACACACATTTGAACAAGCGTGGCCTAATTAGGGACAGTCAACATGGCTTTGTGCAGGGTAGGTCTTGTCTTACTAATTTGATTGAATTTTTCAAGGAGGGTAGAGCAGTGGATGTTGTTTACATGGATTTTAGTAAGGCTTTTGACAAGGTCCCTCAAGGTAGGCTCATCCAGAAGATTAAGTTGCATGGGTTCAACAGTGACTTTGCCGCATGGATTCAGAAGTGGCTTGCTCGTAGCAGACTGAGGGTAGTTATGGAAGCGTGCTTTTCAGGCTGGAGATCCATGACTAGTGGTATTCTGCAGGGATCATACTGAGACCTCTGCAGTTCGTGATATATATAAATGACTTGGATGAAAATTTAGATGGCTGGGTTAGTAAGTTTACAGGCGATACAAAGATTGGTGGAGTTGTGGATAGCATAGAAGGTTGTCAGAGGATTCAGACAGATATAGATCAGTTGCAGATATGGGCCAAGAAATGGCAGATGGCGTTTAATCCGGCTAAGTGTGAGGTGCTGCATTATAGGAGATCAAATGTTAAGGAACAGTATACAGTTAGTGGCAGGACTCTGAACAGCATTGATATATAGAAGGATCTTGGGGTTCAAGTCCATAGCTCCCTGAAAGTGGCCACGCAAGTAGATAGGGTGGTAAAGGAGGTGTATGGCATGCTTGCCTTTATTGGTCAGGGAACTGAGTACAAGATCAGGGTGTTATGTTATAGATAACACCGTGTAGAGCTGGAGGAACACAGCAGGTCCTGATCCAAAACGTCAACTTTCCTGCTTCTCTGATGCTGCCTGGTCTGCTGTGTTCCTCCAGCTCCACACTGCTATCTCATACTCAAGCATCAGCAGTTCTTACTATCTCAGGATGTCTTGTTGTAGCTAATCAACAGTGATTACATTAGATTAGCTTTCCAATTCAAATGTTATAGAATTCAAATTTCCCCATTTTCTATTGTCAGATTTGAACCCATATCCCTAGAACATGAATCCAGGGCTCTGGATTACTGATGTATTGGTAATGGCACTACACCACCACCTCCTCTCCAGCAAAATTGGACAGCCTCTTCTGGGCAGTCAGCCTTGAGCCTGACCACCATCCTTAACACACACTAAATTGCATTTGGACGTGAGGGGGTTGGGACTCAAACGTACCTGTTTTTGGTTTCCTGACCCCTGAACAAAAATTCAGCCCAAAAAGTCTGAAATTCTCCTCCTCCAGTGGTGCCTCTGCTTATTTCAAATTACAGGGAGCAGTCTGAATACAGTTTTAATTAAGACTACTGGTGCCTTTTCACTTGGAATTGATCACCATGTTAGATTCTTAATTTTGGACTGGGACTTGAACCAATTCTCAGAGTTGGGCATGAAATCCAGCAGTAGACTTCCCTTGTATTGCAATGGAGTAATGTTGGAAGTGGCATCTTTGCAGTTGAAAAGGCCTATTTAGCCTCGAAGTTTAGAATATTTTGCATCTAATTTATGATGTAAAGAGAAGCAGGTAAGTTCACCTGGTGTCCTAGCTAGCATTTGCCCTTCTACCAAGGCCTCAAAAAGATGATCCCATCATTTATTTAATGGTTGTTTGTGGAATTTTGTTATATCGAAATTGCCATCTGTGTTAAAAGTCACAACATTTCAAAGGCACTTCAATCAATTATCAATTACAATGGGATATCGTTGTGATCCTGCAAGGGGCTACACAAACCAAATTCTTTTTCTTTGATTTATTTAAAACTCAGGGAGCTACAGTCAAAGGAGATGATTATCCATTCATAGGTATAGATGATATTAGTATCATCTTTGGAGTTTGGATTTCAAAATGTGGCATAAAAGGTAATTACTTCTGTGAAGGATTTTCTTCAAAAGTCACTCCTTCTATAAGTGACCCAAGCCTTTATGCAGAAAGAGGTGACTGCA